ATCTCCTCAAGGAAAAATCCGAGACACCTAAAATATTCCAAAGTTTTTATTCCATGATTCAAACTCAATTTAACTCTATCATACATTCACTCCACATTTATAATAGGAAAGAATACTTCAAATCTGTTTTAAGCCTATACCTTTCTGACCAAGACATTATACACCAAAGCTCTTATCATGATACACCACAACAAAACAGAATTTCCTAGAGAAAAAATCGACACCTCCTAGTCGTTGTTCGAGCCATAATGTTTACCATGAATGTCCAAAATACTTGTGGGGAGAGGCAGTTCTCACTACATGTTATTTAATAAATCGAATACCATCCAAAGTCCTAAACCTCCAAACACCTCTAAATACCCTACAAAAGGCCTTTCCCATATTTCGAGTTCATACCTTCTAGCCAAAATATTCGGTTGCAAAGCCTTTGTCCATAATCATCAACCAAATCAATCTAAATTTGATCCTTGAGCCCATACATGTGTCTTCATTGGCTATTCTCCCACACAAGAGGGCTACAAATGCTATTCACCAACTTTGCATCACATGTTTGTCTCTTGGGATGTCACCTTATTTGAAACCGAATCTTATTTTACAACATCTCATCTTCAGAAGGGAGACCCTCAATGGAGATGAGACTCTTAATACCCTCTTTATTATACCCCATGATTCTACTCCCATCATTGCTATTACAAAAAAAACCTAACAACCATGGTGCTCTCATAATTCCCGATTTAGACATTCTTTCCTCACAGCATCAGGAAATTAATACTACCCTTCCCAATAGTAACATTCCCACCAAAAAGCAGCAGTTCCTTGAATAAGAAAAACAGCAACAACAAGCTCCTGAACTTCTTGTATACTCTCAGTGTCGTTATTCTCCTGAAACAGACACAACACTGCCAATTCCATCCCCAATCGAGGATTGTTCAGTACCAGAGGTCTCCCCTGCTTCATCATCCATTGATCTTCCAATTGTAGTTCGAAAAGGTACAAGAAGCTGCACACAACATCCTATTTCTCAGTTTGTATCCTATGGAAATCTATTTAAGTCCTAAAAGGCTTTTGCGACGAATGTTGATCATGTAGAGACTCCAAGGAATGTAAAATAAGCACTTGAATCAACCGAGTGGAGACAAGCTGTGATGGAAGATATGAATGCTCTCAAAAGCAATGGAACGTAGGAAGTCTCGGAACTGCCTAAAGGAAAAAAATAGTAGGATGCAAATGGATCTTCACCACAAAATTTAAACCTGATGGCAGAATCGATTGGCAAAAAGCTCAGCTTGTGGCAAAGGGTTTCACCCAAACCTATGGTCTTGACTACGACAAGACATTTGCTCTAGTTGCCAAACTAAATACCATTCGTGTCCTTCTATCTCTTGTTGTCAACCTTGATTGGCCCTTGACTCTATTGGATGTAAAAAAACACATTCCTCAATGGTGAATTAAACGAGGAAGTATATATGAACTTTCCACTCGGGTTTGAAGAAAGTAAGGGTGGAGTGTGTAAATTGAAGAAGTCCTTATATGGGCTGAAACAATCCCTAAAGGCATGGTTAGAACAGCAGGAGTTATATTTAAAGACAAGCGGACCACACTATGTTTTACAAACACTCGGGAGAGGGAAAATGCTCTATTCTTATCGTTTATGTTGACGATATAATCCTAACAGGAGATGATTCAAGTGAAATTAGAAATCTAAAAGAGTTCCTTAGCACAAAATTCGAGCTTAAGGACTTGGGAAATCTCAAATACTTTCTTGGAATGGAACTAGCAAAGTCTCAAACAGGTATTTCTGTTTCCCAAAGGAAATATGTTCTTGATTTACTATTGGAAACTAGCATGATGGGTTGCAAGTCAGTTGAGACTCCTATGGTGTTTAATTTGAAGTTAGGGACTGATGAGGATGGAGAAGAAGTAGACGGGGAGATATCAACGGCTAGAAGGAAAACTCATCTGCTTATCACACACTCATCTTGATATAGCTTTTGGTGTAAGTGTCATCAATCAATACATGCACGCTCCGAGGGAGAAACACTTAAAAGTTGCGTACAAAATGTTAAGGTACTTGAAAGAGACTCCTGGTAAAGGTCTACACTTCAAGAAAACAGCCAGCCAATATGTGGAGATCTATACTGATGCAAATTGGGCAAGTTCAGTAAATGATACACTCTACAAGTGACTACTGTAGCTATGTATGGGGTAACCTTGTGACATGGAAAAGTAAAAAGCAATCTGTTATAGCTCGTAATAGTGCAGAGGCCGAGTATCAAGCGTTATCACATGGTATATGCAAAGGAATTTGGATACGACGACTAATGGGAACTAAAAGTGCCATATATCAGACCTATGAAGATGTATTGTGACAACCAAGCAGCTGTCAGTATAGCACATAATCTAGTTCACCACGATCGCACCAAACATGTGGAAATAGATGTTATTTTATCAAAGAAAGAATCAACTCAAGAGAAGTGTGCATAACCTACTTTTCTACTAAACAAGTTGCAGACTTATTAACTAAGAGCTTGAATAAAGGCCTATTTGAGGATCTTATCGGCAAGTTGGGTTTGATAAACATCTACACTCTAACTTTAGGGGGGAGTGTTGGAATTCCTAAAATTAAGGACAAAATCTTGACCTTATTTCTATGAGTTTACCTTATAGACACTAATCTTAAGTTACTGATTTTTAGGGATCATTTCCTATTTTGTACTAATTATTTTCTTTAATGTTGTAAACTATCAACGGGAAATAATATGGAGAACAACCTTTCTTCCTAAGTTTGTTCACCTATCATCTATGTTTTTAAATATATATGATTGATTTGAGTTTTTACATTTTATTACTGAATCATTTAATTATAATCTAGGGCAATCTCTGCTTGGTACGATGGCCGGGACTGGTTTTACTCATTGTGTAAGAGGGTGATGGAGCAAGACTGGTCTTGGAACCGACCTGCGCTTGATTACATGGAGCTGTACCATGCGGCAAAGAAATATTAGACGCCGATGAAGCAAAGACGCCTGATTATTACCATCTCCTATAGCTTTTGTACATTGTTTAGTCATACCTATCTTTTACTGCCATGGTTTTAGCACTTAAAATCGTTCCATCTATTTTTGTGTATCATAAAGCAATAGCCTCTCTTCAAAACTTTAGGGAAAAAAGAAATATGTATCATTCTCCGGAGCTACAAATTCTTGACTGTTGTTAATTACGCCGATGAAATGATAAAATAAAGTAAAAAAAAGGGTCCACTCATTTTGGATCACTGTTCAAGCTCAGCATGCCAACCTCAACTTACCATTCGTGGAATCCGGTGATTGGCGAAAATGGCGGCACACACGAGCTGTTTCGGCTCTTAATCTTAGCTTGCCTTTGTTTATTTATTATGATTCTATTACTAGCATTTTACATCTTGTAGTGGATGATGCCATCTCAGGCTAAAGCAATATATATTATATTTTCTTCAAAAAAAATATAATACAAGTTAAGATATATGATTTTAATGCTGAACATTATAACAGGTTAGTGAAAGTGTATATTGATTTTAGTTATTTGATGTCTGTGGTATAGGATTAAGAGAGAAAGCATTTGAAATGGGTTAAATTTGGTTATTATCATTTCTTTTGTCAATTAGTATAGGTTTTTCAAGGGGACATTAATACCTATCCAACATGAATTATGTTTATTTGATTCAATGAGAAGTTGAGAAGTAATTGAATTACCAAGAAACTCAGAAGAGATGGTAAAAAAGCTTTACTTTTCCTTATCCTCAACCATCTCTCTTTGGTCATTGTCCAACATTATAGATCCTGATTTGAGTCAATAAGAGCCCTGCCACTCACATTCACATATCCCCAAAACCTCACTTCAAAAAAAAAACATATCCCCAAAACCCAGGGAAGCATCGAAGAATGAAGCAGTGATTATATTAAAGGGATGAGTCACAGTTAAAAATTGATGATCATAATACTGAGATCAACAAAAACAAAGGCCACCACGTTTATCAATGCAACCATCGCCCAACCAAATGCTTTTACTCCATAAGCACCCTCACCTAGAAACCAAAATCTGCCTCAAGTTTCCATACCGTCACACTTCACATAGCTTTTATTATTATCTGTGCTAAAGCTGAATGAGTTAAGATACTGGTGTAAGTTGAGGATAAGGTTACGGAAATCAGTGAAGTTGGTCAGTGAAATCCTCCTCTTCCACCTTTTTTCCAATTACAGCCCAGTCTTTTCATTGATTTCCAAATATTTGTAAATCCACACTCAGTTCCTGTAAACCAATAACAAAAATCCCATACCAAAGATATCTCTTCCCTCTCAAAAGTGACTAGTTTCCATAGTTGGTAAATATGCTCTGAGATAAGCCTTGCTTCCTGGATTTGTTCAATGCCTCTGTAGTGCATACCTACCTCTATTCTTCTTTTTCTGTGGGTGCCACCTGCCATACCCAAACCACCTTTACAGAAACCATTGGAAATTGGAGGTAAATTTATGGAATAGTGTCAACTAATGGTTTGTTTCTAAACTTTCTTATTTGATCCGACTGGAAATATAATAGACCACAGGGCATAAAAGCTGGGGAAAATGAGAGATGAAATCGTCTTTTTCTTCCTCCGTTATTTGTAGGGTACTATTTTGAGGGTCTTGAAACCTGTGATCTTCTTTGGAAGTATTCCCACAGCTTCTCTTCTCTCCTCTGGTTGGGTTTTGGGGTTAAGCAAAAAGTACCCATTTGTGATCTTTGAAAAGCCCTGGGTTATTAATATTTTCTTTTCAAAAAAAAAAAAAAAAAACTCTGGGTTATTTTTGGAGGCTATTGAAACAAAGGCAAGCTAGGTTCCTGTTATTATTCTCTTTCTTCTTTCTCTCCTTTTTTGTTCCCAAGAAATAAACTCCGATTTATCTAGTTGCAAAGCAACACAAAACATCATGAAACTGAATAAATAAATATCCCTCCTCCTTGTATTTATATGCACTCTGACTTTTTTTCTTCTTCTTAACATTCAAATATTGAATCTTTTTTTTTTCTTTCTCCTTTTTTTTTTCTAGAAACGAAGTCATGGCAGACTGGCATGGAGATTTCAATGAAGAAGAAATGTGGTCTTATGATGGGGAAGAGGAAGATTCAAGCCCCACACCGAGGAAACCTAGGGGCTACTCCTCGAGTTCTTCCTCTGCATGGCGGCTCCAAAGCGCACCAAGAAGGATCCCAAGGGTTAGCAACGGCAGCAGCTCATCAGCAAAGCATGAAACCAAGATTGCTAAGCAATCATCGGCTCCATTGAACATCCCTGATTGGTCCAAGATATATGGCAAGCATGGAAATATGGATTCATCATCAAGGAAAGGGACATGGGTTGATGATAATGGTGGTGATGGCATGTTTTATGACGAAGATAATGATGATATGGTCCCTCCACATGAATGGCTAGCTAAGAAGCTTGCGAGGAGTCAGATTTCTTCATTCTCGGTTTGTGAAGGTATTGGAAGGACGCTTAAAGGCAGGGACCTCAGCAAAGTAAGGAATGCAGTTTTGACAAAAACAGGTTTCCTGGAGTAGGAATGAATGAATTTCCCAACATTTCATCAACAGTTCCACAGACCAAATCATCATATCTTCATTCTGCATTTATCATGTTTTGTGTAACCTTTTTGCTTTTATCCACTTTTCCTCGTTTTATGTTGTAGTCATGTAATGAAGTTTTGAAGTCGAGGTTCGAGAACATAGTCTTCATCGGAGCTGCCTTTTTTGCCTGATTTTTAAAGAATGGTAAAAAAAACAACGAAAGGTGGCAGCCTCCGAGTATTTGTCTGGTAGTGGAAAAGGGTTTATGTTCTGGATACAGTTGGAGTGCACTTTTAGCAGGAAAGATAATTAGTTAACCATTTATCATCAAAATCCTTTATACTTTGTTCTTTTCTCTATCATTTAGCGTAATAGTTAGTAAAATTTTATATCTTTTGCGTTATTTTTTTTATGGTTAAAAAGGCAAGATGAGTGGACTCATCAGTAAAGCATCTATGTGACTGTACAAACATTATCCTGGCCAAATTTGACCTGTTTCTTTCTTTCTTTCTTTCTTTATTAGCCACCGACATTAGTTGCTTGATGCCTGTACTTTTCCATCTCTAGTCTTTTACTGCTATTTTGTTTATTTATGTGTTAAATATTTTACAACTAAGTGTGGATGAACATGTCTTTAGTGCTCAAACTACAGCTAAAACTAAAACCAGGGTAAATCTACAGCTATTTGATGATTTGATAGTTGACAATTGCTTCAACTCCATACCTTTGCTTCTTCAAACAAGATAAAAGTTTTATATGTTTGCAATGGCATAAAAAATTCAGATGGACCCATATCCATCAGAATCAAGGGCCACCTATACCAAAAGAGTAGGGCCAAGGGCCACCTATATCAAAAGAGTAGGGCCAAGGGCCACCAACTACTTGCATTACAACCCGTCATTTTTTAACGTCTGGAGTTCCTATAAAATAAATAAATAAATAATATAAAAGGTATTTTATCTCTTATTGAAGGGACCACTCAACCATTTTTAACTAGACTCATCAATAATAAGGTGACGTTTGGTTCGTTAGAATATTTATAAGGGAATTAGAATCTGTGAAGGAATTAGAATCTATGAAGGAATTAGAATCTAATTTCATATTCTGTTTGATTCGCAGAAAATGGAATTGAAATCTAATTTCATATTCTGTTTAGTCATGTAAATTGAATTTGATTTCAGTAATGTAAAATGATAGAATTGTTCTTATTATTGTTTTGTTTTAGTTTAGTTTATTTTACAACTTACATGTAATAATATATTATAAAAAATTAAAAAATATTAAATTTTTATTTTATTGATTAATTATTCATTTCAATAAATTATAAAATTCATGCTAATAAACATTCTAAGTTAAAATCATCGCAATCGAAATATGTTAATAAGTTACCAAAAGATAGAGCAATATTTCGATACATTTCAATCGGAGTATGTTAATTAGTTACAAAAAAATACCAAAAACTATTTTTATTCAATATATGAATTAGAAACCTGACCTAACACGACACAAAATAATAAAAAAATTATTTTTATTCAATAAAAACATTGACTTAATTGAAAAAATTATATATAGAGGGGTATTATTGTAATTATTCCTAAATATATAAGGTAAAATTATATATTTTTTTCGGGTCGGTTCGATTTTTTTCACCCTAAACCAGAACCCGACCCGACCTGAATATCACACTTTAAAAAATCCGACCCGACCCGAATATCACACTTAAAAAACCTGACCCGACCCGACCCGAATATCACACTTAAAAAATCTGACCCGACCCGAACAAATAAAGTTTCACCCGACCCGACCCGAATATATGAATTAGAAATCCGACCCGACCCGAAATAATAAAAAAATATTTTTATTCAATAAAAACAGTAACTTAATTGAAAAAAAATATATATATAGAGGGGTATTATTGTAATTGTTCCTAAATATATAAGGTAAAATTATATATATTTTCGGGTCAGGTATTTTTCACCCTAAATCCGAACTCGACCTGACCCGAATATCACACTTAAAAAATCCTACCCGACCCGACCAAAATAAAGTTTAACCCAACCCGACCCGAATATATGAATTAGAAACCCGACCCGACCCAAAATAATAAAAAAATATTTTTATTCAATATATGAATAAGTTTCCAAAAGATTGATGAGGGTAGTATGATCAAATTTCAATTCCCTCCAACAAGGGAATTGAATTCCATCCAATAATGGATGGAATTCACTTTTCCTCTTTTGATGGAAAGTTGAAGCCACGAGGGATTCTAACTCCCTTGAAAAATTTGAACCAAACATGGAAAAATAATGGAATTGGATTTCAATTTCCTCAATTCCAAGAGATTCTATCCAACCAAACGCCAACTAAATAGTTCTCTCCAGTTTTTTAAAAAAGTATATATTAGTTTTTTACGCCTGTTAGAAAGAGTTGAAACTTGAACGTGTTATTAATCAACTCTAAACCTTATCAAGGATAAGGCTTTGTCTCTGGTCATGTATTGAACATGTTCTTTACAGTTGTTAATTCATCATAATAAAGCATTGGAGGTAAGTCTTTGATGATTAACTTCTTTGGCCTTTGGGTTGATTTGACAATATAGTGTTTATAATTGGAGATTAGTTCTTTTTGTTTTCACACTGATTACCTGAGGGTCCTTAATGGAAAGCCATACACTTTAGTCCAAATTCATCTGTTGGGTTCATGTATGCAAATGTTTTAATTAAAATAAATATTGATTTTTTATAAAAAAAAATCCTAACAGAAGTAAACTGTTACATTAGAACTTACTGTGATTTAAAAAAACAGCTGGTGTTACAGTTTATTTTCACTGTGACCTCTAATGTAACAGATGTTATTAAAAGGAATGGCCGTTCTTTTAAACACTTAAACTGGACGGTTTTGTAATTTAGTAGTATTAAGAGGGCAGTTAGTGTGTCTACTTTTTCCCACGGTTCTCTCTCTCTTGACTCTTTGAGGTCGGGGGAGAGAGAGAAACGGAGTGTGTCATTAAAAACTAGGCCTTTAAACTGTTGATCTCTTGTCCTTTCTAAATCTGATTCTGGGTTTTCTTTTTGCTTTCAAATTTCCATTGTTGTATATAAATTAGCATTTTTTCGTGGGAGAAAGATATTGACTTTTAGGACTAAAATGTATGTGAAGAGTAGAGGAGAGTTTGCTTCAAAGCAGGTCTTGTCGAAGAACTTGGCTCTCGTGCTTTGTCTTGCTAGCTTCTGTGCAGGAATGTTCTTCACCAATAGGTATTTTTTTGGCATTCTTGAGTTCTGGTTTTAGCTCCCAATTTGCATTTACTTTTCTGTGGTTTGCTGAATAAAAGATGCATTTTGGTGAATTTGCTACCAATGAAATTTTGAGTTTTTGATAGATCTCGTGAAAGAAGTTTTTGGAAGTACTTTCTCGAGCATACTTGAAACTGCGATAAATTGATTGAATGTGAATGATGAAATATCCAAATGATCAAGTTTAGTTTTGGTCTGGACTTTGTTAAACTGTTTACTATAGATCATTGTGGAGCTAACTATTGTCGGCAAATTATCTGGATCGTACCATTTCCAGGAACCGTGGTTTTGGTGGGTTATAACTATACATATTTTCCTATCTATTGCTCTTGATCTGGTTAGGGTAGAACACATTTGGGTTAATTTCAATGCACAATATTTTCTCAACTACCCTCTTGCAAGGAGAAAGTTTAGTGAAGTGCTGAAGTTGGTACTTGGTAGCTATGACTTATCCTTTAAATTGCATAGAAAGCTTTGAATAATGCTACAGGGAAGGCGTAAAGATCAAAAGAGTAGTGTTGGCATCATTTTTTTTTTACTTTCTAATTAATTATTTATTGGATATTATTGCAGTGAATAAACTACTTGATTTCTTGTTAGGGTGTTGGTTAATATCTATATCTCTACTTGGAGGAATTGCTTACCATGATGTATGGTTTTTTGTTGTCCGCTAAGCTTCTTTTGTTAATGCTTAAGGAAACTCAGACGTCTTAAGATATAATTTTTTCCCTATTTTGATTTTGTCATGTCTTGCTTATAGTATATTCAAATCATTTTAATTATGATACACTGAATTAGGATGTGGATTGTACCTGATGCGAATGCCGTCACGTGGACTTCCAGAGCCGACGGTAAACAATTTGTGGATTGTAATCAGAACATTGTGAGTTCTTTTGTCCCGCATATGTTCAGTCCTAGTTATCTATATGATTGAGCATTGAAGAGCCTAGTTGTTATGAAAGAAACAAGCATTCAGCACGTATGTTTTAGTGGAGTAGTTATATTTAGTCTAATGTCTTGTGTTAGCCTTTAACCTGTCTCGTCTGTTTAGCCAAACATACATCGTTTCTTGATTATTCATCATGCTGACTGGTTGTTGAAATGCTTGTCCTTTTCCCGAATTTAAAAGGTTTTGAAGAATGAAGCCAATAGCTCTAGAGGCATTTCAGAGTCCCAACATTCTATTGAGTAAGCCAAGATGATGTTTGTTATATCTGGATTTGAGGTATTGTACCCTATTCTGGCCTCATATTCATATCTTATTTGCTGTATACGAAATGCAGGACCGTGGATAAAGCCATTTCAGATTTGGAGATCAAATTGATGGCTGCTAGGGCAGAACGTGAGACAATTATAAAAGACCCTATGATATCTGATGGCGTGAAGAATATTGAATCGACTTTAAAAGGAAAATATTTTATGGTTATAGGAATCAATACAGCTTTTAGTAGTCGTAAGCGAAGAGATTCAGTACGTGCTACTTGGATGCCTCAAGGTGCATAACTGTTTTCATATGGCTATTTTTTGTTTTTTTATGATCTTACTGTTGATGTATTATAAATCAATTCTTATTGTATAAATTTCCCAGCTGAGAAGCGCAAAAAATTAGAGGAAGAAAAAGGCATCATCATACGGTTTGTTATAGGCCACAGGTAATTTTCAACCATTCTGCCTGTACCTATCAGTTCCTTATGAAATACTTTTTGACCATTGACTGTAATTTCTCCAGTAACTGCATGTAAAAGCTTTTAGCTTCTGAGTGTATTTGTTTTATCTGTAGAAAATTTGCAAAGAAGTCGCATGTCTTGATAAACTATATGACCTATATGAGGGGGTAGAAATCTGAATTAATGGGCTGGCCTTTTCTGCAGTTCAACATCAGGTGGCATTCTTGACAAAGCCATTGAAGCTGAGGAAAAGGTGCATGGAGACCTTTTGAGATTGGTAATGCTTCTCGTCTGCCCGTCTTTCTGTTGTCATTAGTGTTGACTTAGATCGAGTAGTCTAATGTTTTTGTAAGTGTCAATAGACCATAGAAAAATATTTAAACAGCCTTTATTTCTGTTTGTTCATAAAAAAATAGCAACATGTTGAAGGCTACCTGGAGTTGTCGGCCAAGACAAAAACTTATTTTGCCACTGCTGTTTCCCTGTGGGATGCAGAATTTTACATCAAAGTCGATGATGATGTTCATGTGAATCTAGGTAAAATAAAAGTTTGTTCTTCCATTTTGCATGTTTACAAATCTTTGCACATACAGTATAATTCCTTTTATAAATGTCTTAATTTTTTAACTAGAATGAAACAACTCAACAAGGTTATAATCCAAGTTTTATTTTGAGTGCCTAGAGACTTTTTTTGAGGAAATATGATGATCATAGTTATTATTAATGAAGGGGAAAAGGTTGTACACCATACCAAGAAATATCTAAAGGAAATGAAACCTTTTCCTCGTACTTCAAAATAAGTTACGACGATTTTTCGCATCAAAGTTATAGATCTATGATTAATTGCATTGCTACATTTTTTAATAAATTTATTCCACTCCATCATAAATGAGTTTGTTTGGTTGCAGCAACACTTGGTATGACTTTAGCTGGACATAGAAAGAAACCCCGAATTTATATTGGCTGCATGAAGTCTGGTCCTGTTCTTGCTCGAAAGTAAGCCGAGTTTCTGTGCTTTCCGGATTAGTTTATATTTAAGATGTTGAAAATATCCGAATTATCTGGTTGTCTTATGTATGATCTTTATTTAATAGGGGAGTGAAATACCATGAACCCGAGTACTGGAAATTTGGCGAGGTTGGAAACAAATATTTCCGACATGCTACGGGACAACTGTATGCTATATCGAAAGATTTGGCCACTTACATATTGATAAATCAGTGAGTTCCTACACGTCTTTTCTCATTGTTTTGGTTTCAAGCCTGTTATCATCGATGAGTTAATGCTGTGGTTCATCTAACTGGAAGCTGGTCTATCCAGTTATTGAACTAGCAACTAGAACAAAGAGGCTTTAGTTCGAGTTGCATGTTACAGGCCATCGTGTATATTATAAGCTTGCACATGTTAAATTCAAAGCTCTAATTTCAGATACTTCAGTAAGTTTCAAACCTTTGTTATTGCCTCCTGCGATAATAGCTATGCTACATCTCAGGAATGTACTGCATAAATATGCTAATGAAGATGTTTCGTTGGGAGCTTGGTTTATTGGTTTAGATGTAGAGCATGTGGATGATAGGAGACTCTGCTGTGGTACTCCCCCAGGTATGGGAGCTTTGCTTTTCTTTCTGGATAGTTTTTTTTTTGCCATCTTGGATACCTGTTTTAGTATAAAAAATGAAGTTTTGGCCAAATATACCATAAATGAGAAGTATGATGAGTGAACTCTGAGCTAATAAATGTGATCTGTGATGTCGATATTCCAACCTCTGGTTAATATTGGCATGAACCTATCCGAGGCCAGATATTGGCATATTGTATTATTGTGTTTGTGTCACATTCAATCGGAGGCATATAGCTCAAGTAGCATTGAAGAATTAACTTTAAACATTTTAAAAACAGATTGTGAATGGAAAGCTCAAGCTGGTAATATCTGTGTTGCTTCATTCGACTGGAGGTGCAGTGGTATTTGTAAGTCCGTGGAGAGGATTACGGAGGTTCATGAACGTTGTGGTGAGGACAAGAATGCTTTATGGAGCACGAACTTCATGCAAGCGACAAAAACTTCTTCCTGAGGAACAATATACTTGAAGAGAACTAGCACAGAGATGCTTTTGTCACCTTTCTATAATTTTCTCCCCTTTCCCCACATTTATGTTTGCATCCATAGGTGTAAAGAATGTGTAGCAGTATAGGATACCATAGAAAAACATAACAGATACCCCTTGCTTTTTGCTTCTGGGGTACCCCTCTACCTCTTAGGATACCTACCTCAACACAGCTGCCTCAACCTCATTCTTTGAATGGCGTTGGGCTGGATTAACAAGTTTTCTACCATGGTGATGAGATCTATATAACTAATCTTTGTGAACAGCGTATTGCTGCTTCCTACTCAATAAAATCAATTTAATTACACGTTTATATCATCGGACATCTCCCTTGTATTCTTCCCAAGTCCATGTCGGTTGATGAAAAAGATGAGAAATGGCAGTACTATGTCGTTCTAGTTATCTCTTAATGTAAAATGTATGGATAACTCTAATATCTTCACCATAGTCAATAATGGTTTAAGAAGTTGTACAATAACTTACATCAATAAATAAATGTATCAAAGAACTGAGGGACGATTATGAATATATAAAGCACTAATACCATATCTAAGATATAACTAAGCTTCTGTTTTCCAATTCCATCTGATGCATTGAGTTGGCTACCACCACTTACAGTATCCCATGCAAAAATGCAGTAATTATTTTGCTAATAAATAATTACTTGTTGAATTATGAAACAATGGAATTAGTGGAGTTGTTGCATTTCTGTTTTTACCAAAAATTGAGAAATAGCTGGGAAATTAGCTAAAACAAGTTGGGGGGAATCCTAACCTATCGAAAGGAGAGGCAAACTGCAATAGTACAAGATAATAAGCCAAATAGTAGACTTGTTATGCATCCCCAACAAGTCCTACCAAAAGGAAACCTGTATCCATCTACAATCCCCTCAATGATCTGTCTCTCTCATGTGAATTGATGTCTGCATCTCTCCCTCACCTTTTACAGCAAAAAGAAAAGAATACAGCCCCACTTTTGCTAACTATTTTCACGTGCAAACTCCGCAAATGTGCTATCTATCTATCTATCTATCACTGCAACATAGTCGTATCTATCTCGGCTTTTTTACCCACACCGTTTGTTTTTATTTTTACTTTTCTAACACCGTTCCACCAATATTTCCAAAACTAGCACCCTTTCTGCTGAGTTGGCAAAGGCGCGTCCCCGGGAGCGCGCTTTACCCGATTTTTTCGTTGAGTTGGATGCCACGTGTGAAAGGCGCGTCCCCGGGGACGCGCCTTTGCCAACTCAGCAGACACGTATTTTGTTTTATAATAAATAGTTTATTTTTATTATTATTATAAATTAATAATATATTATGTAAAATGTTTCGATTATAATGTAAGAATTATCAAGTTTCGAGTATTTTTGATTTTGATTATCGATCTATTAATTTTATCAGTTAATTATTTAAATGTTATCAATCTAGTCATCTCATATCAATATTTAACGAAAATATTGATGCATAAGTTAATAAATTAGTATAATTACATATTTAATCTTCAAGACTTACATATTTTATAAATTAGTCTTATTGAAAATTTAATTTAATAAATTTAATCCTCCAATCAGAACATGAAATGTGTCATCGTATACATAAATTTTTTAATAACTTTTAATTTGTTTAATTTAATATTTTTCTCTACTTAGAAGGTGGAATTATTATTATATTTTAAAAAAAATTATAACTAATAATATTAAATATTATATTAAATAAATATATTAAATATATTTATGTATTTAAAAGTTAAAAAAAATTATTTAGGTGTACATACATTGACAAATTATATAAATGCAATAACATTAAATTATTAGAAATAAAAACATTCATTTAAAAACTTTAATTACATAAGAGTTAACGGTTATATGATGATAACAGAGCTGGACATTTTTTTCTATTGTGCCCGATGTTTCTACAATGCCCACATCGTTTTTGTTCTGTTGACTTCTCCCGAATATCCATATCACAATGTATTCTAGTAGATTTTGGACGACCTGAGTCCCTCAATAGCAATGGATCTGGGACAATTGTAAGCCAAGTTTGAATCTCATTTGGGTCTCTTTCGTTTCCTATGGGCGGAAACTCAAATTCATATACCTTGAAAACTTGTGAAAGTTGGTATACAGGATCAACATAATTTTTGTAGTCCAAATGCGAATGTGAGCAAGCAGCAATGACATGAGAGCATGGATATTTGAGTGCTTGAAAGAAACCACAATCGCACCACCTCTCTTGCAGATTAACTCTGAAAGAGTTAGCTTCAATCCCTTGCAGCGGACGTGGCATTTCGGTTACACGAAACAATTCACGGGTGCGAGAAAAATTTGTAACTAACATCCCATTTGATGTAGCCATTTTTTTCTGTAAATCGACTATTAGTCTTGGGTGGTAAATATGTCCGTTTTGCATCCAAGTAAGAGCTTGTCCACCGAGTTTTGCAAAGAGTTGACCCAAACGAAAATAAGTCGTTTTGACCAACGCCGTGACTGGTAAATGACGCGCCCCCTTTAAGGTTGAATTTATTGCTTCAGCCAAGTTTGTTGTCATATGACCATAGCGATACCCCCCGTCATATGCATTTGTCCACATTTCTTTGCTGATGTCCATAATGTACTCGCACCCCTTCTTATTTTTGCCAAACAGCTCTTGTAGCATCGACTCAAACCTTTGAGGTAAGAGTTCGTAACCTAAGTCATTAGGAATATGTAATAGTTAATATGAAGTATAAATAAGTAATAAGAAATTGATAGAAAAATTGGGAAAAAGTAACATACCCATCCGCACGACTAACTGACGTTCATCGTTCTTCTTGTATTTTCCGTAACCTAAGTCATTAGGAATGTTAACCCCTCGTGCTTCCGCCGAAAGTAGAAACGGCTTCCCATTTTCATTAAACCAGTCCATATAGTTATCCGTAACCATATGACCAGTTTCAGCGTAATATTGTCGAGGGGCCAACAGTGTATATCGGTTCTCCCAAAGCGCAATCCAATCTCTGTGTCTCACCACCCAGTTAACATCTTTCTTTCCCCGTCTATCTATGTTATGCACGTCGTCTAAATTTCTAGGAGCTCCAGGAATATATTGCGTACAACCATACTGACGGAGCACGCGATCAACTGGATGCCACTCAATAATAGCATAACATATAAGAGGTATAACCGATATCCATACCTCTAATGACCCTCTAAGGTGGGGTGGGATGCAAGCTTTCACTTCATCGCTCGCATAAGGTATCCACTGAAATTGAAATATAAATATACAATTCAAATAAATAAAATATTCTAATTATATCTAACATTTTAAATTAAAATATTAATAATTAAACAAATTTAAAAACATACCTCAGACCCAGCTTTCGTATCAATAAGTAAACGAATTTCCTCTAAAACAGTAGGTATACTTTTATGGTCCTTTCTTTTCATCGACCACCTATGAAATATAATATAAACTAAATATCACCCTATTTAATTGAAAATATTTAAATCAAAATTTAGTTCGAAAATTACCTCAACAATAAGGGGAATACGTATGGTTCATTCACGATCGGGCATAAGAAAGGCATGCGGAACCACGCCCATGATTATAGAAGCAGAAGACATCCACCGATAGCAGTTTTCTTATAATTCGTCGCCCGACACATTTCTCTAAAGAGAAATGCCAAAACTGCAGCACCCCAACTATATCTTCCAGCTTCATCAAAATCGATCAGATGCCGCAACCACATACAATGCACCTGGTTGCGAGATTTGTCGGGCATCAATATTCCTCCAATTATTCGTAGAATATATGCCCGAGCACATGCCTTTGCTTGATCCTCTGAAGCATTTTCATTTAAAACCTCAAAATTAGCTTTCAACCAAGATAAAGCTATTCTACCTCCATTAAACTCTGGCGGAGCAGCTCCAAGATAATCAATGCACATTGATTGCCAATCACCATCCGCCATACCACACATCATATTTCCGTCGACGGGAAGCCCCAGATGCATAGAGACATCCTCCAATGTAATTGTTGCCTCTCCACATGGAAGGTGAAAAGTGTGTGTCTCGGGCCTCCACCTCTCAATCAGTGCAGAAATTAGGACAGGTTCGAGTTTGCAACCGCCTATAATTGTTGCAATATACCCGAACCCAGCAGAAGCCAAATATGGCAAAATACGTTCCGGTGTCGGTATACGTGGATTTTTAATAAAAGTTTCTAAAATACGATCAGCATCCTAAATAATATATATATAAAAAGTAAAAATTAATATAAATTCATAATAACTTTAAAATAAAAATAAATTTAAATATTAACATTAATTATAAAAAATATTACCATATCGCTAAAATGTCTGGAGATATGATCAATATCCAATCGCAACAGCATTTCGTTTTCCATTATAACTGTAGACAAAACAATATAATTAGCAAAAAATTAATAATTCTAAATAAATAATAATTATATAAATATTATTTTAATAAAAAAATAATATTTACATAAATATATTAATATAAAAAATAATAACTATTTAAAAAATACTAACATAAAATAAATTTCTTACCACTAATAACAAATTTAAAACTCAAATAGTTGGAGAATTTGAGTTATATAAGAGAGAAGAAGATGATTTTGGTGTGAAGAATGAGTGAGGGTTGAGGGGGTTTATATAGGGGAGGAGGAGGGGTAGTTAGGAAAAACGGATGGGGGCATTTATGACATTTAATGGAAGGCACGTCCCCGGGGATGCGCCTTCCACACGTGTCTGCTGATATGGCAAAGGCGCGTCCCCGGGGACGCGCCTTTCATACGTGGCATCCAACTCAGCGAAAACACGGGTAAAGCGCGTCCCCGGAGACGCGCCTTTGCCAACTCAGCAGAAAGGGTGCTAGTTTTGGAAATATTGGTCGAACGGTGTTAGAAAAATAAAAATAAAAATAAACGGTGTCAGTGGGGTAAAAAAGCCATCTATCTCTCCTTACTTTGTCCTCCCCACTAGAAAAACCCTAGGTCCTATACTCTGTTACTATCTTTTCATTTCTCCCCATTTTCCTAGAATCCTTACCGTAGTACTTATAGGATTTTCGTGATCCATCTTTGGTCCCCGTGCTTCTATCTTCTCTCATGAATCCTCACCGACAGATTTACCGTAAGAATGTTTTTGCTACTATCTTCGTTTCTTTTTAACATTTTTTATCCTGCATTGTTCTTTTAATATTCATCTTTGCTTATGGGAAACCATGCAGATTATTGTTGAGAAGGCTGTAAAGAGCGACGTTCCTGATCTTGATCAAAAGAAGTTAGTTGCATTTTCCCTTCGAGTTTATTCAGTCTGCTATTTGCCAAACATGCCCCCGGATAACCTTTGATTGTGGCTTCAGGTATCTTGTTCCTGCTGATTTGACCGTGGGCCAATTTGTTCATGTTGTCCGTAAAAGGATCAAGCTCAGTGCTGAGAAAGCTATATTTGTCTTTGTGAATAACACTCTCCCTTCTACTGGTGAGCGATGATATATTTGCTTCAAGTGTTATAAACTATCACAGTTGTGAGGCTTATATGTTTTTTTTTTTAATTTGGTTACAGCTGCCTTGATGTCTGCAATTTATGAGGAAAACAAGGATGAAGATGGTTTTCTTTATTTGACTTACAGTGGAGAGCACACATTTGGTGTAAATTCTCAGTAGGCCAATGCTTTGTTCTTGACAATGACAGTTTTATAACTGTCTCAACTTCCTAATTTTTTATTCTCAATTATGAAATTTTAGGAGACAAGTCATTTGTTTTATATGATTCTTCCATCCCCCATGAATGGTATTCAGTCATTTTCAATACCAGGGACTGGTTTGGTGTAGCCATTGAAATGGCGCTCAATGATACTATTTTTATGCTTTTAAAGTTTCCATTAAATTGGAGAACACAAGTCCCTCATAAAGGAATTCATCAAATTTCGAAGGCTTGGCAATTACAAATTTTAACTAAATTCTGTTCTACTGGAATTCCTTTTTCTGGAATTTACTCTTGACCCATGTTAATCCCTTGGATACCCCATGCTTGACTTGCTTGGCTCCCTTCAAAGCTGCTGCCTTAAAGCTTCCATTTACTCTGGGTTTCTTCGTGTCCTCTTTCTTGGCTGTAGTGTCCTCATCTTCCATGACTACAATTCCTCCAGCACGCCATTGATCAGCCCAGCTGGGTGCCTCACTAGCCATGGATCCTTGTTATCCTTGAAGTCTTAATAAAAACAAGTTTGTGAAATCAATGCAACCTTGTTTTCAATGTGACAAAGCAGAGGAAGGAAAATGCGAAAATCATGGAGGCAAATCTTATGCTTGAAGCGTAGATCCTTGGATTTCCGAGAGCTTATCTTTTTTCGTGTATTTTATCAAACTTAAATACGGGAAGATAATAAGAGCTTAAAAACATTATGTAAACAGAATCTACGACTACAACAAGTATTTGCAGAAGTAGGTTAAGAGACTATATGAAGGGTTTGATGTTGATGAACAGAAGTGATGATATCAAGGCAAAAACAAGGGTTTGATGAAAGAGAGAGTACTTACTTGATGCTGGTGTTGATTAACAACGGCTGCCTTGCTTGGAGAACAAATTGATAAAAGCAGCAGATGAACAATAATGAGATTTCTCTCTGCTCAAGACTTACTAGGAGTAGGAGATGGCTTTGTCCCCTTTATTTGCTTTTAAATGACTTGCCAACTCACTCATGATGGGAAATAAATCGAGTACGAGTAATTTTCTTATAATCAGATTAGTGAGAATGCGAAATAAAAACGGAAAAAATAATACCAAAAATTGATAACAAAGTTCAGCTAATTTGTTTACGTCTTCGGACTGTTGCAGATCTTTTATTAAAAGAGAAAATTTACAGGTGTTTACAAAACACTCACTACTCATAAGAAAACTCTCTAGTATTGGGAGAAAGAAATGCTTTTTGGGATGGTTTTGAAGCTAAATGAGCTAGGGTATTTATAGTTAAACTTAAGGACTTAATCTTGTAAATACCCTAAAGCCTAGGGATTAATTGTGATTATCCTATTATCATTTTTCAACAAACATTTACCAAACTTTGAAAACCATTTTCAAAGAAACATTTACCAAACTTTGAAAACTTTTTTTTTCAAAGTTGGTTGCCAAACTTTGAAAACTTTTTTTTTTCAAAGTTGGTTGCCAAACTTGAAAACCATTTTAACAATACTTTCAACAATCTCCCACTTGAAGACTGATTTTAATTTATCTTCACACATCGATCAATACAACAGCTTTTCTAGTTTTGTTACTCTAGCATGCCAACTGAAATTGAACACAACTTCAGTTTGTCTGTAGTCACCGTCTTTGTCAACATGTCTTCCGGATTTTGAGCTCCGCTGATCTTTTCAAGTTTCAAAATCCCATCTTCCAGAAGAGACCGGATAAAATGATATCGCAATTGTATGTGCTTTGTCCTGGAATGAAAAGACTGATTCTTTACTAGATGTATAGCACTTTGACTGTCGCAATACAAGATATTGTTTTCTTGTTTCTTGCCTAACTCTTCCAAGAAACTTTGGAGCCAAACCATCTCCTTGCTGGCTTCCGTAACAGCGACATATTCTGCTTCAGTTGTGGAGAAAGAAACTATCTTCTGTAGTTGAGAAACCCAACTCACTGCGGTTCCTCCTAGATTATAGACATACCCTGTAGTGCTCATTCTGATGTCAACATTTCCGGCTAAGTCAGAATCTACATAGCATGCCAGTATCATATCTCCACCTTTGAAACAAAGTACTTTGTTTGTGGTACCCCGTAGATATCTAAGGATCCATTTGACTGCTTCCCAGTGTACCTTGCCCGGATTATTCATGTACCTGCTAACAACTCCCACTGCTTGAGCAATATCTGGTCTGGTACAAACCATGACATACATCAGACTTCCAATTGCTGAGGCATACGGCACCTTCACCATGTGTGCACGTTCTTCCTCCGTCTTTGGTGACTGTTCTTTAGAGAGTCTGAAATAAACACCTAAAGGTGTACTTACTGGTTTAGCATCTTGCATGTTGAACATAGAGAGTACTTTGTTGATGTACTCAGCCTGTGATAATATCAAAGTCCCCGACTTTGTGTCTCTCTTGATCCTCATCCCAAGAATCTACTTTGCAGCGCCCAGATCCTTCATAGCAAACTGCTTCGACAATTTTATAATCTCTTGCATGTCTGAGCATGCAATGAGCATGTCATCAACGTACAACAATAAAATAATGAAACTATTGTTGAACCTCTTGATGTAGCAATAATGATCTGTTTGGCATCTGGTAAAACCATTGCTACCCATGAAGCTATCGAACTTCTTGTACCATTGTCTAAGAGCTTGTTTTAAACCATACAAGCTCTTCTTTAACTTGCATACCACGTTTTTTTGTTTCCTGCCTCTATGAAGCCTTCTGGCTGCCTCATATAGATTTCTTCCTCCAAATCACCATGAAGGAAAGCTGTTTTTACATCTAACTGCTCAAGATGTAAAATTTCTGCAGCTACAATTTTCAACACCAGTCTGATTGTAGACAGTTTTACAACTGGAGAGAAAATTTCATTGTAGTCAATACCTTCCTTTTGCTGAAAACCTTTGACAACCAGTCTTGCTTTGTAGCGTTTGCTCCCATCGTGTTCTTCTTTGATCCTGTAAATCCACTTGTTGTGGAGCGCTTTCTTGCCTGGTGGTAATTTAGTTAATTCTCATGTCTGATTTGACATAAGCGAGTCCATCTCATCTTTCATGGAAGACTCCCACTTGACTGAATCCTCCACTTGCATTGCTTCATCATAGCACTCTGGTTCACCATTGTCAGTCAGCAACAAGTAGTGCAAAGAATGAGAATACCGTTGGGTTGGTTTAGAAATTCTGGATGAGCATCTCAGTTCTGGTGTGACTGGTTCTTCTTGAACTGCTTCAGGACTAATCTGAACATCATTTCTAGAAATCTCCTCGAACTCAACAAATTCCTTTGTTTCAGCTTCAGTATTGGAGCTACTTCATTCTATGGTTGACATGTCTTTTTACATCACATTCTCATTAAAAATGACATCTCTTCTTCTGATGATCTTCCGATTTTTGTAGTCCCAAAACCGGTAACCGAACTCATCACCGCCATAACCAACAAAGGCACATTTCTTGGACTTAGCATCAAGTTTACTTCTTTCAGCAGAGTCTATGTGTACATAAGAAATACAACCAAACACTTTTAAGTGTGAGGTTTATTTCTTTCTTGCTCCAAACTTCCTCTGGTATTCTGCCATCCAAAGGAACTAAGGGCCCACGGTTGATCAAGTAAGTTGCAGTGTTGATAGCTTTAGCTCATAGAAATTTGGGCAAACCGGCATGTATCCTCATGCTTCTGGCACGTTCATTCAGAGTTCTGTTAATGCGCTCTGCTACGCCATTATTGTAACATCCTCAATACCGGGTTAGTGACTAAATTGGAAAGTTTTATATTTTGGTGATTAAAATAGAATGAATGAATAGTATAAAGATTTATATGTAAATGATTGTGTAGGATTGAATTGAAAGGAAGAATGAATGGAAGGGCAAAAGAGTCATTTGCAAGGAAAATTAATTAAAGAATGGATAAGGATATATATGAGTACAAGTGGGATGAAAAGAAGAGAACACCAAAGCCTTCCAGAGTTATCTTCTTCTTCTTTCTTCCTTGTACGTGTGAACCAAAGCAAAGGTAAGATTTCTGATTATTGAGTTTCTTGTTAAATTTAATATTGGGTTTTGATTATTAGATGATAACTAAGCTTAAGTTATCTTAACATCAAAGGATGATTGAGTTAGGAGAGATTTAAGATTTGAAGTTCTTAAATGAAATCTTGGAATAGAGTTTATAACTAGAATTGAAAGTTATATTTGACTTGTCATCAATCTAGTTAAGATATACGAAGTGTTAAAAACGGAATTCAAACATGTTGATTTATTAATGTAATTCTTGAATTACATATGAATGATAGGATTTGAAGGTTTAAGATGAAATAAATGAGTATAAATTGGTTTAAGGATGTGTACTAGAGTTAAGAATGAAAAAGGGGATTAAACATGAAGGATTTAATCCAAATGAATGAACTTTCAGGTTCAAAAAGAGGATTCTGGGCAGAGTGCACCGATGCACATTCATAGTGCATCGATGCATCAAGGTTAAAACCCAGAAATTGTTTGAATGTGCATAGATGCATTGGTAGTGCATCGATGCACTCTTTTAAAATACGATGCATAAGTAGTGCATCGATGCATCCCATTAATAGTGAAACATCGAATGTAATCGGTGCATCAATGCATAAGGAGTGCATCGATGCATCCCAGCAATAATACTACATCGAATACCTTTTATGCACCGATGCATCAGTAGTGCATCGATGCATACCTTCATTAAAAGATGAAATTGACTTTTCTCTTAGTCTAAAGAGTGAATCATTAGAGTATATTAGTTATAATACTGATATAGATCCATGTGCGATTATGTAGATACTAAAAGTAAGCTTATTCCGGAACGATCAAAGCAAAGCTAAGGTAAGTGCATACTATATGTATATTATAATGGAATAAGACTTGTGATAAGTCTAATCCCTATGTTGATTTTTATAATACAGTAGTTGTGAACATGCATACATGATAATTATTGTGATACATGCA